TTCCCCGACTCTCTTTCTCTTCGGTCCTGAGATGGCCGTACTCGCTGCTTCTGCTTCCTTCACGCGCTGGCGCTTCGCGGACGCTTCCGCCTCGTGCCTGTGCCATTTCCTCATGAGCCATGCCGCCCCGTCCTCGACCTTGTTGTACCATGTCTCCGGGTCCTTGGCGCTCTCTTTCCATTTCCCCCCTTCCTTTTCGTCTCCCATGTTTAAGGCATAGTATGTGGGGGGTATTCTTTTCTACCGAGAAAAAGGCCGTAAAGCTTGGAGAATAGCGGGACATTTGGGGGGTGCTACTGCTGTACCGGAGGTTTGGTGCGGTTAAGGTGAAAGTAAGCGGGCGCAGTCGTCACGTGATAAATTCCTGGTCTACCCTTGACGAACGCAGGCGGGATGATCCTCAACCCTCCCGGGCTTGTGCACCTTAGTCATAGCATGTCGTATCTTAACAGTGTTTGTCTTTTATTTTTCTTCCCGAGTTGGTCGTGAGTTGGTTGTGTGGTTGCCCCCGATAACGACGACTTCCAATGGTCCGCTACATCCTAAATTCAATGGACCCCTAAGTCCATCTTTCACCCTCTCGGCGGGGAAGCAACGTACGTAAGCAAGTGCGCGTATTGACGCGAGTGAATTGCTGGTGCACCTCGGTGCCAAGCCCCACAAGTCCCTCAACCCAACCCTTAGCCTACCCGAACCCGCCTTCGTGATGGGACAGATTGTCAAGTTCCTGGAAGAGCATCGCGGTGAGGGTAATTGTACTCGCTTCGCCATGAACGGAGCCGCGGCCGCGGGGAACATGGAGGTTGTCAAGGTGAGGAGGAAGATAATTCAGCTGTGGATACATACCCTCTGTATAGTTCGCCTACGTATCCTACTTCTTCCTGCACCCTTCGCCCATGTTGACTATTCAGTGCTCCGTTCGCAGTGATTCAACTGCAGCCTCGATATTCATCCACGTGTACCACAGGCAGGTTGGCGATAGTTTAGGTGATCGGTTTTCTCGACAGAGGGCAAAGGCTAGAGATGATTTTTCCCAATGGTGACCAGATCAAATAGCAAACACAATCGTCAGCGCTGAGAAGGGACATAAACACGCCTCCCCCGAACAGGGGATTTAACGTAGCGATAATTAAGCACATGGGAAATTCGGTCGTCCGCAAGTTGGAGGCCCAGCGGGACCAAAAAGATGAAGAAGAAACGACGAAAGTGCTCACTGCTGCTGCCCACATAAATGCGGACGATGAAGCGAATGCGGCAGAGTTGCCAAGTTGTAGGGTTACTCCTACCGCGCCTTCTTCCAGACAGCGTGTACGCAGCGTGCGCGGTTCCCGGGGTGGCTAACCCTTCTCTCCAGGTGCCTGTGTTGAGAGGCGAAATTTGGAACCGATTGCCGCTTCTGGTGTGCCGGCAAAACCTCCAGGCGGGTGTGCTTGGTGTACTCTCCCTCCGCTCACGATGTTCGATCTCACTCTCCCCTTCTGCGCCGGGCGTTGTGTTGCATCCACCCCACTCGGTGGTCTTGACGCGCGGTTGTTGGAATGATCATGGCTCGCCCGACCAATAGTGGCTGCACGACAATCGTACCGAGGGATGCACGGAGAAGGCCATGGACGGAGCAGCGGCCAACGGCCACCTGGAGATGGTGGAATGGTTGCACAACAACAGACAAGAGGTGCGCCATCGTCACCGTTACCTTCACCGTTATCGCTGCCTACAGCTGTATTGTAATCCACCCACCCCCTCTTGCTTGAAGTCACTGCTTTCATGAGTCGTTTAGCCTCTTCCAACTAGTCGGTAACTACTCGGTATTTGATCTCGTGTCTCTGCCGAGGTGGGGAAGGGGCCTGCATATGTTCCTCTGTCAGAATGCCGGGCTCATGTGGGGTATTTTACTTGGTGCTTTATAACCATGACGGTGCTATAACGTGTTGCCGTATATTGGCGTGCCGCACTGGGCTTTGAACCACTTCTTTTTTTTTTCCCGCAACGTCATGTTGTCGACGGGTACATACAAGTATGCACCCCCAATGGTTCCGGTTCTCCTTGTGTGTCGACTCCCTTTCCGTCAATACCTGATCGACTTTTTCCCCTTCAAACTAAACACTACTGTCTTCTTCCGATTGGGTGTTACTCCCTGTCCCCGCTCTTGCTGTCCGACTTTGTTTGTGGCGAAATAGGGTTGCACGACCGACGCGATGGACGGTGCGGCGGAGAACGGGTCTTTAGAGGTAGTCAAGTGGCTTCACCACAACAGGCATGAGGGGTGTACGGGCGACGCTCTCTTCCTCGCAGCCAAGGTGATGAATCATCCAACACGACCGCTGCATACAAGTGTGGTTGCGTGCTCCTGCTGTTGCTTGTTGACGGTTTTGTCGTTGTTGCCAAACCATACGGAGTACGATTTCGGCACCTCTGACGCCTCCTCCCTCTCCTGTTGTCGTCGCCTGATCACGATGTTGTTGACGCAATCATGCTATCCAGACTCAACGATCACGTCATTGCCAAATAACAACACGATTTTGTCACCTCTCACTCCTCATTCCTCTGCTGTTTTTCGTCGGTGGACGCGATGACGCTATCCAGACCGGCCACGCGGATGTGGTGGCGTGGCTGCTGAGACACCGCACGGAGCGGTGCCCCGCGAACCGCAACATCATGGACTGGGTGGCCAATCACGGCCACCTCAAGGTCCTCAAGGTGCTGCACGAGGCCCGGGTAGAGGGTTGCTCCTCGCGAGCCATGAATTGGGCCGCCAAGAACGGTCACCTTGAGACTCTGATCTGGCTACACGAGAACCGCGCAGAGGTGTGTTTTGTGTGTGTTTGTGTGATAAGAGCGACGTGTTAAGACAGGGATGTAGCGAAAGTAAATAGTCAGAGTAGAGCGTCATGGCGAAAGCAAAGGAGGGCATGTGGTCTCGACCACGGGAAGTGGGCTATCATAGTTCCTCGTTTGTTGTGTGCCGGAAACCCCCGGTGTTTGCTTGACTTCCTCCTGTGTGACTTACCCAGGCAGGGGTGTCAAACGTACGAAGTATACGGAAAGGTGCATTGTAGACTGGCGCCCAGCATAGACGGGGCGATTACAAAAAGCACTCAAGAGAATACACAGCAGCATATGTTGGTGACGTACTCTTTCGGTTGATTTGTCGTGGAATTTCTATGGCCTCGTCCGTTGCGAAAAGGCGATGTGTGCTTCCAAAAGTGTGCGAGTGACCCTCACCCTAAGGAAAGAACTTGCGACATACGTGCTTGTCATGGTGGCACGTCTGTAACGAAATCGAAATCGGCAGGGTGCGAGTGACCCTCACCCTAAGGAAAGAACTTGCGACATACGTGCTTGTCATGGTGGCACGTCTGTAACGAAATCGAAATCGGCAGGGTTGCACCCGGCCCGCGATGGACGAAGCTGCAGGGAACGGTCACCTTGAAGTCGTGCAGTGGCTGAACGCGAACCGAACGGAGGGCTGCAGCATCCGAGCGATGAACCACGCGGCCCTGAACGGGCACCTTAACGTGGTGAAGTGGCTGCACGAGACCCACGTGGGGAACTGCACGAACAACGCGATGGACAACGCCGCTAAGAACGGGCACCTCGACATCGTCAAGTTCTTGCACTTCAACAGAAAGGAGGGCTGCAGGTCTGTTTGTCACTCTTGCTGGTGCTTGTTGCGGCTTGTTGCCGTTGTTGTTGCTGCGGTCTTTGGTAACTCTGACCCCCCCTTTGGCACCGTTCGAACGCACCCCCCCCCGAAAGAGTTTACATTTTCTTGCTGCATTTATGCGTACTTCGCAGTAGGTTGTTCACTTGAAAGTCATGTTCACCAAGTATTTATTTCTTCTGTTGATCTTGTGCTGAAAAACAGCACGAACGCCATGGATTGGGCGGCGGCAAGGGGGCACACGGAGGTGGTCTACTTCCTCATCGCCAACAGGAAGGAGGGATGCACGGAAAAGGCCTTGGATTGGAGCTCGCATGGTGGTCACGACACCATCAGCGATAGCCTCAGAGGGGTCAAGGTTCGGGTAAGAAGCGACTTGTTTTCTTTTTGGTTGTCCTTCTTTTTCTTACCCCAACATCAGTAGTTGATCTCTTCCACAGATGGGAGTCGGGAAACAGTCAACAACGACAGTTCGTGGTGTCCACCTTGTGTATCTGACTACCATGTGCTATGCTGAGATGGTGTTGTTTTCTTCTCTATGTTTACTTTTTTTTGGGAACATGTTGCACATACCCCACTAACCTCCCCCCCCGCCTACACGCCCTTTTACTTTTTGCCTTTGAAACAGAACGGCCCAATAGGAGGAGGTGGAGTCGCCGGGGTAGATGGCGGAGGCTGCTGCATAGTTTCCTAAGACAATCTACTTACTCCCAAAAAGAGAAGCTGACGATCATGTGTCTTGTTTCTGGGCGGGGTGCCTATACTTTATATATACTACGTGCCTATTGCTTGTTTATATACTACGAAGGACTGCATATAACGGTGTGTGAGCGGCTGCTACGAGGGTATGTCGTGAACGAGTGCGAGACAGATCGTCTCGGAGACGAATTGGGACGCTTACACGAGTATGTACTATATGGACATGCTGATGACCTTTTCTTTTGACTCTCCTTATCCCGGCCTGTGCTCATGCCAGCCGCCCTGATCGGAAGACACACTTGTGCAATTATTCCTCCGTTCCGTGGTTGGTGTTGCAGCCGCTGAGGCTTTCTGTAGTGGTATGGTAGCAAATTAGCTGTCGTTTATTTTTTCTTCGCGCAACGAGCTTGTTGATGATTTGGCGATCGAAGGCAAAGGGCTGCAGTTCCTTTCCCCCTCCCTTCCTTTCCTCATGAAGGGGTGGGTGAAACCAAATCATTCGTGACTGGAGCATCAGTGTTGCCAATGTTTCAGTTTTCTAGGCGTGCGATTCCCCTCCCAGGGGCACTGCGTGGCATCATCGAGAGTCAGCAAAGTGACACATCGTCCGAGGAATACCCGCACGCCCCGGTTGTTGTAGTTTTCATGTTTTCGTTGTTCTGGAAAAGCGGGACCCTGAATTGCCGGTTTGGCTGACGGGAAAACTGTATATTTCGTTGTTGTGGAAAAGCGGGATCCTGGATCGCCGGTTCGGCTGACGGGGAAAAAAACAATCCCCATGTTATGCTATGCATGCGTCATGGACGAGACTGTCGTTTCGTGGTGCTGATTGGTTTGTTGCTGCTCGAAGGAGGTAACTCACTTGGGAGGGATTTTGGTTTGGTGCCGGATTGTAGCAGCACAGGCGCGGCTCTGAGATCCTGAATGGGAGATTGCCGGCAACGGTGGGCGGGGGAAGAAGGCGTAGGGCTTGACGTGAGGTCGTCACAAGATGGTTGTTGGGCCATGTTGTCCGTGTTGTCTTGTCGACGGCGGTGGCGGTGGTCATAGTGGTGGTGGGACGGTACATGTGGCGTAGTGTCGGCTAGCTGGCAAAGGACCGAGGCCTGCGTGCAAGGCTCGGTCTCCCCGTGAGGTGTAAGTGAGAGGGCATTGCACCCTTCCTGAATGCGATAGTGCATACGATGGAAGGAGCGGGAAGTGTTGGTAGTATATTAGGGAAGTGATTTGGGTGGCATGTATGTGTCATTTTTAAAGACCGTTTCCCGATTATTGTCCTTTTCTTGTTTTTTGTTTGCGTATGTTGTTCGAAATATGACGGGAAAGCTCACACGTGAAACAAATGTGGAGGATCAAGTTTGGTTTTGCGGCTCAGCTTTTTTTTGTCGGTTTAATCAAAGAAGCCGAACAGCGCGATGTTCTACAGTAGTCCCACCTTGCTTGCGGAGGCGGCCTCCCATAGTTGCGAAAGTCGATCATGCACGTACATACGCCTGCAATCATCGAAAGCTGGGTAGTTCGTATGGTATCGAAAGGGCGGCGGGGGGCGGGAGTGTACTAATGTCAACGCATGCCGTGGTCGGTAGACCATGAAACAGACCTCGCATCCATCCCTATGGTGCAGGGACGGAACGTAGGCCGGGTTTTCGCCGGCCCAGCGGTAAGGCGGAGAAAGTGTGCTGTTTTTCGTCCGATTCCGTAGAGAGTGTTGTTGTGCTTACTTTGGGGAAGCACTTGTCTGTCGTCGACGGGGAAGAGGTGCCGCTCAGAAATCGAGCACTGTCGAGTCTTCTTGTACTTTTAAGCGTTGGTCGACTTTGGGTTGATTCGTGACAGTGGTTTCGCGCCGCCTCGTGAGCTCTCTCGGCAAATGTGCACGCAGGGAGGGAAGCATGCTCCCCTCACTTGGACTTGGAGCGTACCCGATACGCGCGTAAATGTCGCTTGTTGTGCCTGGACCATAGTTGTCTGTTTTTTGCACGTTTTTGTGGCGGTGTGTCTATGGTCTCGTCTCATCTGTTCTGACAAGAATCCATACACACCATTCGATACTATTTATGTATACATTTGACGTATCAGCCGGGGGGGCAAAGCGGGCAACACGGGGGCTATCACTTCTTTCAGTACGTATTCTAGCATGTCGAGCGGTTAGCCTGTTACGGGTGGGGATGTCCAACGTTGATGTAGGTAGTTGATGTAGTTTTGTGTACCAAACTATTGGAAGTGATATCACATGTATTCGAATTAGGGTAGGAGTGAGTTGATGCATCGCTGCGTTACAGCCGCCGGGTGCTCCTTGTTGAATTCGCTCCTCCACCCGCGGCAGCAAATCCAACCTGTTTGCCACCACGATCATTCATGATGGTCTCGATACAAGTGCATCACGTGTGTACAGCAGTACCGATCTTTCTCAGGGAATAGATGCGATTGGTGGATAGAGAGGGATGGATGGTAGAACGAGCGACGAGGTGGAGGCTAGAACCACAACAAAAGCCAACTTGCAGACGAAACATTTTGGTGCCTGTACTTGACTTGTCGTCTTGGATTTTTGGTCGAGCCTGTGGGTAAGAGTCCATCCTTCATACACATCTAATTCTTCTTTTTTAGCTTGGTCTGGCCACATGTGTTTGCCGAGGGCGACAACATGATGTGCATTTATCATTTGTGTGTCAGAGCTACCAGATTATTAGTATCATGTACATGTTTGCAGGAAGCAATAAAACTGAACTTCAAAACCAATCGACGCGCGACAGCAGTTGTAAGCACTGTGTAAATGTCTCGAGGGTGCTTGGCCATTTTAACACAACGCGGTTCGATCATCACCCTTGCGCGGAGTGAGGACTCTCGACCCCGCACAACATGATCTACTCGACCAGCATTATGGTTACCGCCAAAAAAAAACGGTAACCTGGTGCACGAAGTGAAGTGGCTTGTTTTACAACGTCGTTGCCAAGCGACGAAAACCCAACCCCGATGGCAAACACCGGGGGGGGGGGGGGGGGGGGGGGGGGGGGGGGGGGGGGGGGGGGTAGGGAGGGCAAAAACATCTCATCACTTCAACACCTCTTTTCATTTTGATCCTCAAGTAACAGGATTCACGAGAGCAAGAGCCCCACACACATCGTTCATGACTCTTAATCTCGGGTGAACGATCAAAATTTCATCACGTGCTGCTGTACGTGTTGGGAATGTGCGGCAGTTACGGATGAGGAGACTAGAAGGCGCGACCGAGCGTCATATGCATAGGCTCCCCGTGAGACCTACGCAGGGTCAACGATAAAATCAACACACACTGGACAATAGCATCACGGCTACGGCAAGAGAAAGGATCATAGAGAAGTGAGATAGGACGTATGACATGACGCCGACGACGCAGTGATTGTTTCTCGTCAAATCAAGAGGGGAAAAAAAAAAACTCACAACTAACTGCTGTGAAGACCCTCACAACTGCTGCTATGCACACCACTATTGTCCGATGCACAGCGGGGTTGTTCTGACATGCTTGTGTCAATTGAGGGACGGAGAAACGACCCCAAGGCCGCTCACTCTTTTAACCAAGTCACTCTGAAAAAAAATCGGCGCCCCCCCCTAAAAAAAAAAACTGACTCGCACACACTGCAGGCATCGTCCTAGAGTTGCGGGATGCGCCCGCCGCCCAGCCCCGACACGCAACCAACGGCACAAGCGACAGACTTCCAAAATTAAGTCCGGGAGGTCGAAACACATTCATTCGGTCGTGAATGAGGGCACCAAAACCAATTCTACAGCGTGGAATATGCATGTACTGTTGTGATACGCGAGCCCACACGCACGCATTTTGTCCAACACCTGCCCAGCTGACGTCAAGTGAACATCGGACCAAGTTATGCTACTGAAAACTCACACGTGCAAATCTTGTCTACACCGAATTCTGTTCCACTATAACAGCAGCTACAGTAGTAGCTACTTTACCATCTTTAGCAACAAACGAGCACACACAACGAAAACAAACACTCAAACGATGCTGGTTGATAGCAACCCCCCGGCAGGCGTGCGACCCGCGACAATCAGCAACAACAACAATCGGCACGGACGGCTGTCTGAGGAGGGCGACAGCAACAATTCGATCAGATCGACATGGGTTCCTTGGTCTTTAAGCTTAGTAACAACAAAATGGTCGTTTCTCGCGGCATGTACGTACAGTGCACATCAACCTGCTTCAAGCGCGTCCTAAGCCTACAGCCCAACTACTTCCGATTCTGCGAGGTTGAACTCAGGATGGTAACACACGGATCCAGCCCTCTCAATAGCAAATACCAGTATCTTGGCATTAAAACTTAGCGAAAGGTTATTATTATTAGCACGCGAAGAGGTCGAAATCATCCAAGAGAGATGTGACCATCAATCGCACACAACTAGGGCGCATAAATGAGACTCCTCTTCTCTCTTCCCCGTTTATGCTTCTTGCCACTGAAGGACCCCATGCGTTGTTGGACTTGACCAACTCCAACGCAAGGCGCAATCCTACCAACTAAGTGGTCGTGCATTTTGCTCTGCCTGGGTTTACCGGCACTGCTAGCGTATGCTTCTTGATGGTGGCGCTCACCCCCCCCTCCCTTTTTTCCGCGTAAGAAAAAATGTTCCGAGCCGAAATAGCAGGCCTCAAGAAAACAAACATGTGAAATCTTCGTAGAGGACAACATATGACACAACAGAACTACTTTCCTGAAAAAAAAATGCGGCGATGCTTTTTCTTCACAATATTTAACCAACCGTGGCAAATGATGCGTCACAAGTAGTGCGCTAACGATGCCCCCGGGTCCCCGTTTGCCGCAGCCTCCAGGTCTTCGTCATCCATCGCTTGCTGACAGACATGACGCAGTGATCACAACAACCGGAGGGACAAGAAGAACCACGAGGGGTTTGAGGACGAGTCAACGGAACACGATCCAGAGAGAGCGTAACGGACACAGAGAGCATAGAAGATTGTACTATTTCGATGTGAAGCGAGAGAGGGAGGAAAGGAATGGGCAAACATCGGGGTGGCAAAACTTCAAAATATCGCTACGATAAGCACATTCTTACGCACGCATATGTCAAGGACAACCTTTGTGCCAACGCTGAGTGTGTGCGTGCAACACTCCTCAAACGGCTCAGGCAGACATGGACATGGGCTGTTTCGTACCCGGTAAGATAGTAATCATCATCACTAGCAACGTGTTGTCACGTCACGCGTACACACGCTCGTATGCACACAAGGACGAACGTAATGCCACGTTCTATTCATTGGGACTGAGGTACAGGATCATATTTTCTGTACGGCTTCAGCAGTAGTTGGGTTCGTGGTCCAGCCTGGTGCTAAGGTCTCAAGGTCCACACAGCACCCAGAAAAGTTGGACGCCACGCGGAGGTTTGGGGCGGGGAGGCGGATCCCGCAACGATCCACCTTGAGACCTGTTGTAGAGTTCGTGTATCGAAGCACGACCCCACCGCCTCCTGGTCCTGCCTGGTTCTCTGAAACAACTTTCTCAACTCTAGGACCATGGAGTGTCTGGGTTCGTAGTTTAGGGAAAGTCTAGGCCGGGCATCAGCTTCAGTCAGTGGGTTAATGGGATTTGAAAATCATACAGCCTGCACTCCCCAGGCAAATAACGAGGAACAGCCAGCTGAGGACAAGGACACAGGCTACCGTCAGAGACAGAAGCCGGTGCCGTTGCAGTGATCCCCTCCTGCCAAGAGTTGCTATTTCCTTTCGTGAGATGTAACGAGGAGAGACGTAGAGAACGAGAGAGAGTGGCCTCAAGGGGGCAGGGGGAGGAGAGCCAACAACTCTCCGCCTCCGCTCTCGGCAAGCGGCCAAGGACTTCGGAAGAGACAGATCTCAAAGGCGCATTTCTTGTCACTTCTCCGGGTGGCAAGTTATTCCGATGGATCGTATCCTCCTATACTTCGTATGTGCACAAATGGTTGGATATATTCCCGACATATGCCCTCCACACAACAAAAAAAAGGAATAAACCACACGGAGAAAACACAGGGAACCAAATAAAAAAATGTCGGCCACGACTGCTGCCCATCAAACAAATCGCGTGCGTGCACAGGGTGTGCAATTAAGGGCTCCCTCACCTGATATGACGAAAATTTGTTTCCATTCCCGTGAAGCCCCGCTCGGGTGGGTACTGGAGGGGGACACGACGCAGGGACACCGACGGCAACGTCATCCATCCATCATCCGTGCACCAAGATCAACATCAACAGAAAGTCACGGCAGCTCATCACGTTTAGCGAAACTGTTAAATGACCTCGAGGCTGGGACATTTTCAAAAGAAACGCTAATCAACGCCAAGGGTTTTGTTGACATGTCTGCGGTACACAACTTTCCCGGAATGGCATAGTACCGTAGATCGTGGAAGATACCACACCCCTTGGATCGTTTTTTCAAACCTCGATCGCTCTGCAGCAGTCAGTGGCGGTGGTGAAAATTGCGGCACTGGTTCCGTCTCGTCGAGAGCTTTCCGAAAGCTTATCATTTGATTTTGGAATCCTCTTTGACGTGGAGGGTTTGAGCTTTGAAAATTCGTCAGGGGTGTCGTGTGGTGTGTGGTACCTTATGCAACCTACGGTATAGCGGCGACAAGCCAGCAAGGGCAGTCAGCAGCAGAGTTGGGCAGCGAAAACGTTAACGTCAGCCCGACGGCGGCAGTACCACGTGAAGAGAGATTGGAGCCGTTCCATGTGCAAGTTCACGGGCGCGGAACCAAAACGACGGCAAAGCTTTGAACCAGGCTTTCCACCCGAGCAGAACTTACACTGGTCCCCATTCTTACGGTCACAACAGCAGTCAGTGTCCTGACACAGGAACCCTCTCTTCAGCCGCTTGCCGAAAACAGTACAAACTTGCTGGTGCATCCCTGCCGTATACCACACTTGCGAAACCTTCTCCGCCCGCTCACGTTGTGTGTAGTCGTGGCCCGCAGACCACGATACTTCGAGCAGCACATCTCTAGCCTTGCAACACCAGTACGTCGTGAACAGCTGCATCGCGAACAGTATCCACGCCTGAGATACACCCAGTATCCCCGGGGGGTTGTTTAGGGGAACAGCGGGAGGCGGGGGGGGGTATTCGAGACATGTTTCAGGGCGAGACGGCCTGGTAGTGTAGTTTGTCTTCCGCGAGGTTAGGTGACGTCATCTCTCCCAGAGACAAAGAGATCCTCTACTCATTCGAGCACCCCTAGTCCCCCTTGCTGCTATTAATCGAGGCATCTCACCCACGGGGCGCTCTGTTGTAAGACTCTCAACCACGGTTAGATGCGCAGGCTGTATGTACTACGTGGGCACACTGGCGTCGGACAGCGGCCGTCCCTGCTGCTAGAGCTGCTAGGTGACTGTCGTGATTCCCTCATGGCGCTGCTCCTCTTGCACGTGTCGTGTGATGCAATGACGTACACAGATGACACAGAAGTGCAGAACCTCGCTGACAGAGAGCAGACCGAACACCTACACTTGGCCCCCCTACTACCCCGTGTGCGCCAAGTCGTTTCGCGGGACCCCTCCTGACTTAATTATCCTCACGGAGCCCCATGCAGCATGGAAAGTGACATTAAATAGACGTGCCAACTATCGGTAAGGCGACACACCAACCAAGAGTTCCTAGCGCGTTGGAGCTCAATACCCCCAACTGGCGCAACCATTCTTCAAAATAGTGCAATATTACAACTTACCCTACGAGTACACAACATCGAAGACACGAGCACTCACCAGTATGGCTAGCGCCTTGAAGCTGATCACTCCCGACGAGTTCACATCTGTGTCCGCCTCGTCTGCTATCGCGGTTGCTAAAGCTGTCTCAGACCCCTGTTCAAATCGGATCCATATTCACGTCGTTGTTGCACCAACAACATAAAAGACTCGGGGGTTACTGGGGAAAACAAACCACAGGGCACACGAAAAAGACATGGGCACGGCAGGAACCTGTGGAGACGAGAGCCCACAAGCGAGCAGGGACAACGTGAGTACAGGCGGTAAAAGGCCCCAGCATAGAGTAGCACAAGACATGTCCTTCACGAACGGGTACCGCGCAGCAGCAGCTTGCTCCGCACCGTGTTGCAGGAACGACGACACTGTACATTTCACGCGCTCATGCACTTCTGCATCAAGAGGCTGCTGCACGGACTGACATACGAAAACACAGCAGCGGAAGCAAAAATCATGAAACGAAGCAGCCACATGACGCCATGCGACACACACCAATCAGCGAGTTGAAACTTACACCAACAACAGCAACAACTCCGAGTTCGTGCAAGGTACCTTACAATAAAGGGGGGGTGTATTCAAAGTCGTGCTGTGGTCGTTAGACCATTGACGTCGCATCTCTACAAAGCCGGGACGGAGCACGCCGGGTCCTCACCGGACCAGGCTCTCACATCACCAAGCGCGAAGCGCCGTGAGATATTCGGCGAGTCACATGAAGGNTGTGTAACTGCCTCGAGGATGCGTGACCATTTTAACACGACGTGGTGCGATCATCCCCCTTGCGCGGAGTGAGGGTTCTCCACCCCGCACAACATGATCTACTCGACCACCATTCACGGTTACCGCAAAAAAAAAAGGAGGTTAAAACAAGCGGTAACCTGGTTGCGGAGTTCACGAGGTGAATTGGCATTTTTTACAACGTCGTTGCCAAGCGACGAAAACCCAA